ATGTTACAATGAAAGCACTTACTTCTTATAGGGATGGGCATCTCGTTTAAGGTTGTATTCACGTATGGCATCCCGTCAATAGTTTTAAAATTAATGTTGCGCCGGGCAAGATATCGTCTGCAACAGGCACAATTCTAATGCAAGATTGATCGTTCGTTTCTATGTTCTGCCGACGTTACCAGTGGCCGCATGGACGTTATGCATATACATGTATGGCCGTTATATTTCTTATCTTCCCAATGACCCAAGCGTTAATAATTCTCTCTGTTAAAGTGATCACCTGTCTATTGTGACTGATTTAGTCAACTCATTGGGTTTTGAGTGATCATTGCTGACAGGTTTGACTGTATAAATTTTCAAACTTTTGTTTGTTTTTTGTTATTTTCTTGTTGTTGGTTTTAAAAGTTGATCATGTGTCCCAATACGACGATGCATGGAATGGCTACTACATATGCTTGTTATTACATACCCATACATGACATTCTGATTTAATATGTCCTACCTGGTATTCTTGTGGTCAAAATATTGTGTCTACAATTACTTAATAATTTCTGTATAATAGACTTTTGTCGGGCAACTTTGTTGGTAAATTTGTGCGTTTGAGTTCATTGACATGTTGGACAGCAGCGCCGATTTCATCAGTCACTAAAGATGACCTAGAGGTCAGGTGATGTTGTCAATATTTGTCTTTAATTAACCACACATCAAATAGCAGTCTATTTGTGGTTTGGGCAGAGTTCGTGTTTGCCAACTGTTCCATTGTGTGTGTTTGTTGGTCGTACGCCTGAACTATTGTAAAGCTTTCAGCATCAGAGAGTCCTCTCGTGCTTTAATAGAAGAACTTTATTGACACAACAAAAAAAGTACAGCGACTTTCGTAAGGTACTACATGTAGACATACAGACAGATACGTGGGTAGAACAAAATTGACCTATACGTACAAGACAATAGATGAACCAACTTATACTACTTGTTCTAAAGTCTAAACATTCTTTGATATATTTACCTATATTTGTACACAGTGAGGCATTCGAAGTTACTGACAGTTGAAGGTCACCGTTGGGGAGGGGGCGATGGTTAGCTTCGAAAGGGGCGTTACTATTTACAACTTGACTGTTTTGTGTATGTTATAACATACAATACCTACTCACTCAGTCCGCTGCCATCACAAAACACAGTGAACACGGTCCGTTGAAAGATTCCCCAGAATCATACACTGAAAACACACACTGCGAATTCGGTCCACAACCTCAGAGGATTCCAAAGAATCATACGAACAGATACTTGTGTTCACTCTGAGTCTACTTTAGTAACATTATATACATAAAGCAACAATGATCTCAGCAAGAACTCATGCGGTTACAGCGGCCAGCATTCGACTGTGTCAAGATTTTCAGACGTGGGACTCAATAGCTGATTAACTCCTTGTTCTCCACATGGCCAAATTCTACTATTTCTAAACAGGCAAAGGACTGTAGTTTATGTTAGGCTACCAGCACTGCCGATTCCTATTCCATGTACATACACAAGTGCAGCAACACGACTCTCTTCGATCTGTTTTTGTTGGATTCTTTTAGGGACAAAAGCTTGGCAGTCACTGTTCTGTGTTTTTCCACGTAATTGACATTGCCTAAGACATCTTGTGCCTGTTTTGGCCTTATGAATGACATTGTTTATTTTGTGTCCCTGAGTACTATATTCTACAGAACCTTGGGCGTACCTACCAATTGTCAGCTACAATTTTCCTTGCTTGGTTTGAGATACTCCAGAATCACGAACACGCCTAATGCTGGTATTAATGCTGAATCTCAGTTTTAATAGTGTTTCAAATATATAGGAACAAATATTATTCCATCTTTAAATAAAAATGCTGACTCAGTTCTGGATTATACAAAGAGAGGGTAGTAGTAGTAGTGTAGCCTCTACCAGGCTTCGGGAAGCGGCTGGAAAAAGTAGAAATCGGCCAAATGTCATCTCCAGCAGACCAACTCCCTCGGCATGTTATCTCTCTATTTGGCCGATTTCTACTCTTTCCAGCCGCTTCCCGAAGCCTGGTAGAGGCTAGTAGGAGTGGTACCCTTCATTAGTGTGTGTGAAGTATATGGCTTTTATTTTTCTGCATCTGACGGTCCGCATTGTCTGTAACGACATTTGATGTTGATGTACCGCCGTGAAGAGTCAACTTCACAGTCAGAAAGCTGATTGTTACGGCATTTTAAAATGCACTTAGACCCCAGAGATCCACTCTGTCGGTAATTTCTCCCTCGGTGCCTTCAGAAGTCCATCATATCAACTTCAAAGCAGATCTAAAAAGACATTGACGTACGAAACTGGATGGCACTCTACATCATGTATATTGTTGGACGTTATATGTAATTAGTTTAGTATGTGTGTCTCTATCCAATTGCCTTTTCAGTGAGTGGGTCGCTAATTCTATTAGTTATGAGTAATTGAATTAAACCAGTGTATATCAAATTAATTTCTATGTAATGGATATCAGCTTTGAGAATATTCAATTTTTGTATACTTTTCTAGCGGGCTGGCAAATAACACATTTCTGTAATTCTGCTAAATACAGTGTATGAAGGAAATTAGTTAGAGTACCAGCAGTGGGATGGTGACTTGGTATACAATAGCGATAAAATACCTTCCCTGTCACCTCTTATATTTAGGTTAATCATTTAGACATTTGGTTACCTATTTAGTGTTACTTCAGCAGTACTTGCGGGAGGAAATGATGCAACCATTTCACAAGTCGAAGTACAGAAATGTTGCCTGAACCGAAGCGAAAATCCTGGTACATGGTAGCTTTTAACCCCAACTAATCTTAGGAAAGAGGTTTGCTGTCTCGCCTTTTTTCGTGGAAAGAACGTGGAAGGGAAGTGGAAAGTGGCATGCGTACTGCCTACATCTAGGCACGCCTATCTCTAAGCCTTTTCTTTTTAAATATTCCAACATCTAATCACAAGACGTCGCCGTCGTGACGGCACACTCAAGTTTTTTTTTCAACTTATATTAATGCCGCCACCAACACAGGGGACAATACAATACAATACAATACAATACAATACTCATTTCACCTGATCAAAGTGAGGAAAGTCGTGTATTTCCCAAGGGCACAAGATCGGTGGCATGTCGGGACTCGAACCCAGGACCGCTTGGTTCTGAGTCGAGCACTCTGCCGCTACGTCACACGACCCCACACAACTTGAGAATGTATTCAGGAAGACTGAATGTAATGATTATATAGAAACAAAACGTATTGTTTAGAACATGTCCTATTGTTTTTCTGGGGATGTGGGATGTTGACAGAGATTACAATAGCAAGAAAGGCAACACCCCGTAACAGATGAGTGCAACGTGAAAATGTCTAGTTCTTGCCCATTTTTAGAACACAAATACACGTATACCACCCCGTGTTCGGATCTATAGACCACATTTCTAGGATAAAATTATCCAGATTGAGCCGAATTGATTCGCCTTTGATTCGAGCCGGATCGAGCCAAGGATCGAAGCCAGATCAAAGCTCGGCTCAATTTGGAAACTAGATTTTCCTTGTGGAAAAAAAAGGCCTATGAATCAATGCCGAGCCAGCTTCTGCATGCCCCAACAAAACAGGAAGTCTCTCTCTCGTGACTTCCTAGAATGATGTCGTCAGTTCGTCTCCTGGCAACAGCCGCAGACAGGGCTGCCTGGGTTCAGAAGGGGAACTTCCCGGGTCTATTTTTGGACCAAGTGCGTGTGTGGTGGTTAAATGCTGGCGTACCGCTGTGGTGTTCACACACCAACCCGTGATTACGGTGTGTGGAAATGTCTCAGGTTCTTTGAGGAATATTCGTGATCGTAGCCTCTTCTTGATACGTCTGTTTGAGGAACTGTGAGGAACTAAGTCCGTTGGTAAGTTGACTGTAAGATTTCAGCTGTGGAGAAGTTAGTTCACGTTACTCTCCAAGCAGAGGTTGTGGGGGAATGATCGTTGCCTTTTTTATATATGGCCTTTTTTGTCGCTACCCCCACCCGTCGGTGGCCGCGGACCTTCTCTGGCTAATGGATACTGCCTGGCCAAATTGATACTGTCTTTTTGCCACCGAAAGGGATCTGCTTGGAGATTAATATATCTGGCTTGCAGGTGGTTGTGTCTGATTTGGCCAAGCAAGGCTTGGTTTCCACGTGTTTTTCCAACTTTCGAAAATTAGTTTGTTATTCAGTTTAAGTAGTTGAAGGTTGTCTCACGACACGCATATCTTCAAATGATTGTTAGTATATTACTAGTGTCGTATTTGGTAGGTATGGCTAACGGGACGAGAAAAGGGGACGTAATTCCAGCAATCCCAAAGTCTGTTTCCTGTCAAATTGTCTTGTTTATACAAATCTTACGGTACGATCTTTAATCTTAAATCCTACCTTTAAGCCTTAAACTTAAAACATGCGTAAAGAATTAAGGGTACCCGCAAAGGAAGAAACCAAACCTAACGCATGCTTTAACAGATGTTGTGCAATGTGTAAATTCCAGGCATATACCTTGTGCACTATAGTAGAGACTTGTACTATCATAGGGTTATCTAGATCAACATCTGTTTCCTTCACTTTCACAGTGAATTTATTTCCGTGTGTCGATCAGTAAGTGACCTGTTAGCTACTTTTCCTTGTTCCTTCTTTTGGTTTCAGTATAGAAATTAGCCAATGTGATGAGGAAGTGTTCTAAGGACATACGGCTGTATATGCTTGTCATAATATTTCTATATGGCCTTTTGAAATTGAATGTCGCTTTCTTGTGTTGTTTTCCTTTCATTCATTTATTCTGTTAGGAATTTTTCTTTCATTTATGATGTCAGTAATCTACATGCGTTCCCTTTGAAAACTGAATGTTTGGTTCGTTTTTTTCTTTCTCTTTCATTCATTCCGTCAGGAATTGTTTCTTTCATTCAAAATATAAAGGAATCTAGATGCGTCGCCTTGTAAAAACTTAAAATGTTATTTTTGTGTTTCCTTTTCTACAGGTGTCTACTTATGCGCACATCCTGACCAGGTAGAGTAGGCGGGACTTCCACGCACGACTCAACTGAAGTGCCAATCATGACGTTACCTAGCAACAACAGCCCTTCGGTGATGACCACGCCCACCACTGTGTCCTTTCCAAGTCTCAACTCCACGAATGTCACGAACTTCACGACAATGTCGCCAAACGACACCGCCGAAGTCTGCAAAAACGACGAGGGCGGAGTCGTCCAAATCATCGGCACGGGGGTGTCCGTCCTCATCATTCTAGAGAACATTCTCGTCATCTGGGCTATCGCGAGAAACAGGCGAGACTTCAGAAGGGTCACCTACTACTTTATAGGGAACCTGGCCATAGCGGACGCCCTGGCGGGGGTTGTGTTCTTGTACACGTTCTTGGTAAACGATCTCCTCAAAGTCGCGGATTCGCGGGAGGGTTGGATCGCAAGAAAGGGTTTTCCAGTAGCGTTCTTCGTGGCCTCGCTGCTCAGTCTAGTCCTGGTGTCCATAGATCGCTACGTGCAGTTCGTCTACCCCATGAAGTACAAGAACCTCCTGACGAAACACTGCTGCAAGGTCTTCATCGTCATTATGTGGATCCTGTCGCTGGGCTTCGTCATAGCGCCCCTAGCGGGTTGGAACTGCATCACAGCCAACTGTACCTGCACGGAAGGTCCCTACGCGTGCGAGGACGCCACTTGCTCGATGGCGGTGCCGCCCTTCACCAAGAGCTTCGGCATCACGTGCGTGGTTGTCTTCCTGGCCAGTCTAGTCGTCATTATATTCTGTTACGCCGGGGTCTACATATCCGTCAGCCGCCATCTCAAACGCATGGCCACCTACACCTTCAGCGCCGCTACCGTGAAACTTACCGAAGTCACGGACAAGGAGGCGCCGCGGCAGCGCATGTCGGACATCCGACTGGCGAAAGCCCTGGCCATCGTCCTGGGAGTCTTCCTGGCTTGCTGGTTCCCCGTCATCTTTCTCATCTTCATGGACATCAGCTCTTCCAGCGACGAAACTCCATCTTTCGAGAACCGCGAGCGAATGTTGTTCCTAGCGGACGTCTGTTCCATCCCCGCCCTGTTGAACTCTGCTATCAACCCGATCATCTACGCCTGCAGCCTCCGGAAGATGGGGCAGGAGCTCAAGTCTCTGCTCTGTTGCATCTTCTGCTGCAAGAAGAAGGCCGCGCCGCGCCTGTCGAGAAGGGGCTCGGAAACAGCGAGTAGCGAGAGTCTGTACAGGAAGAACAGCGTCCGAAGGAACAACAGCGTGCGGAAAAACCATCTGTCAACTTTATAGAGCTGAGAGAACGGACATGAAACTCGTATACGTGTATCTACAGTATCCCCAGTATCTCTTAGTCTACGGTGCTGGGAGTCAGAAAGAACAGCGTCCGAAGGCAAAACAGCGTTCGGAAGAACCATTTGTCGACTCTGTAGAACTCAGAGGACCGACATGATACTATACGTGCAACTTAGCCTACGTTACCAGGCCATCGCCATCGGTATCTCTAGGGTGCTGGAAGTAAGAAAGAACAGCACCCGAAGGGAAAACAGCGTTCGTAAGAACCATTTGTCAACACTGTAGAAATGAGAGAACGGACGTTGTTACTCACATACGTGTAACCTAGTCTGGTAACCAGGCTATCGGGAGCTCCCCGGTATCTCTACGGTGCTGGAAGTATAAAGAAAGGACAGCGTCCGAAGGAACAACAGCGTTCGCAAAAACCATTTCTCAACTCTGAAAAACTGAGAGAACGGACATGATACTGTGTACGTGTAACCTGGTCTGGTAACCAGGCAATCGGGAGCTCCCCGGTATCTCTGCAGTGCTGGAAGTAAAAAAGAATAGCGTCCGAAGGAACAACAGCGTTCCTCCTATAAAAGGAACGACAGTAATCAGCAAGACCAAAGGCTGGAAAGATAGGCTAACAGAAAGAAAGGTCTATGCTCAGTAGAACTGGAGCCGCAAAGAATGGTCACCTAATCCACCTGTGCACACTGGATAACTCTGGGCCCAGTGTGATGGGTCTGGCATCCAGGCTATTGGTCACCAGGCTAGCAAGACTTTTATGACCAAAAGACATGACATTTTTATTAATTTTATGTATATTATCTAGGCTAACACAGAGAGAAAGAACTTCTATGGAGATATTTAATCATATGAGTGTGTCAGAAAGAATGTAAATAATTCAACCAAAGTATATATATATAGAAGTTCTATTTCATGACATTGCAACGACACAATGAAATGTGTGTGAAAATATGCCTCTACAGAAGATGTATGTAATTCTATATTGGTTGAATATGATTCAGTTGCACCAATATAATGGTTAATGTATATATTGTAAATAGAAATTGTGAAACACCGGTGGCAATCGAGAACAAAAGTTATCTGACCAAAGCTACGCTTTTATTATATCTTTTTCCTCTTAGATTTTACGTAGAACCTTTACGAGTTGGCGCTAAAAGCGGTAATGTAAAAAAACTTCCTTATATCTTTAGACAGGATATCTTGTACATAATGCATGGTTTACTGGCAAGGATAGAAAGAATGGGACATCCTGGACAGTATGGTCGGCACTTTATAAGACAACAATGCCACCAAAGTCAAACTTTCTTGAAAACGCCATCCAAGTCTACTGGTCCTTGACTTCTGAAGATGACTACTAAATAGTTCATTGTACAATATTTGACGATAATGTACTAGTATACAGTGTGTGGATCCATATAGCCAGAGTAAGTCAAAATCCTCGCCAGTGATGTGCAAGTGTAATATATATACTGAGGTCACATTTCCAAACCGGGGCCCGGCCGGACAGTCTTTTGGAGCAAAAAGTATGATATAAAAGACATCAAAGCACAAAATAAAGTTGAAAACGTTAACAATGGGAACTACTTGGGTATATTATTGATACAAATTGTTGATTCTTCGTTAATCAAAACAGCCCAACCGGGCCCTGGTTTGGAAATGTGACCTCAGCAATAAATGAATATATTGTCTACATACACGTAGTTAGCAAAGTTCCAGGATACATGTATATTAGACCGAATTGTTCAGTGGTCAGTGAAGTAGAACTAGAAGTGACAAAAATCGTGATATAAAACGTGGAATTTTCTTCATCTGTAACTTGAATGTTCACGTCTCATTCTGTGATTGACTTCACAATCTTTAGCCCAGTTTTTGACCGAACGTTTCTGTTGTGTACTACTTTGTGAAGTGCTTCTGTTTTCTTATATACGTATGTCATGTGGACTTTAGGCTGTGTCGAGTACTTTGAAGTCAGTGTATCAAAGTTCTTATCGCTTTCCAATAAATTTTTCGTTGCTTGAAAGTTGACGTGTTTCACACTTTTCTTTGGTTAGATATTGAAAGGCTACTACAATATTCCATTAATCAGTGACTGTTTTAAAGGGTAGCAAACACCTCCAAATTTTGTGTCAAAATTGTGTCATCAAGTTTTCTTCCTCATCAAGTAATGTTACTGTATCTGGATCAGGTCCTGTCCTTGGTGCTGAACATGGTAACATCCGTGTCCATAATATCACCAGGGTCCATAATATCGCCACCTTGAGAAATAGTATGCTTTAAAATATTTTTACTGCAACATACCCTAGGTAATATGTACATTTGAGGTGTGCAGGAGTGCATACCAAAACT